TGGAACATAAGGTCCATTTTCAATGTAGTATGGGATCTCAGGATCCACACCTTCCAAGAATAGAGAGTTTTGATTCTTTGTCTTTGATGAAACGGGGAGGTTTGGCAAAAGAATCATTATTGTGAAAGTTGGTGCTAGTGTTTTACAAAGCCATTTTGACATGAAAAAATTATCTAAAGAAGGAAAGATAATAAAATACCAATAAAACAACAATACAACATAAAAAGCAAATATTGCTCTGATACCACTTGTTGGTCCCAGCCAGATCTACAAGAGTTTATAGGTAATCAGTTTGTAGGGGGGATGAATACAAATACTGAAACTTTCACTTTTAATAATTATATATTGATAAAGAAGATCAATACAAATTTTACAGATTGTTTGAAGAAGAGATAAGGTAAAGAACCTATCTAAACAATCCAAGATACACACAATTACAAATAGCAATGAGAAAAGATTTGTTAAAAGAAATAAAGATAAGATTAAAAGTGCTCTTCACTTGTTCAAGTGGACGTTTCTCTTAGACAAAGAGTATTGAGAGAAGTAACTTCTTGGGTAAGTTCTTAGTGAGGAAGATGATAACTGAGAGGGGAACTACTCAGCTATTTATACCCATTGCATTAAAATGCAATTCAGAAGATACAAAGCACGTGTCAATCTTTTGGAGGAAAGTTTGTCCTTTGTTCAGATATGGAAGGTTTTTGGCCATATGTGAACAATCCTCTTTCATAAAGTAGGTAAACAAGTTAGAGTCAACGGAGTGGCTCCATACTGTACTATACTTTAGAAAGGTATAGGCTTGTCCTTTGTGTGTGGGAGGATAAGACAAAAACAATCTTGCTTGACAAGTTCTATTTGATCGCTGAAAACTGGGATGACGCTGAAAGGTCTCATCAGTGTTTGTTGAATCTTGCACAGACTTCACACATTTGTAGACGAGCTTGTAATCACTAAATACCGCTTCAGATCACGAACTTGCTGGTCTCTAATCTTCAACTTCTGTCTTCGACAATGTTGAAGGATATGTGGTGTGAGTTTTGTCTTCTTTAAGTATAACAGTCTCAGAACGATTTAGAATACACGTTCAGCGATCACTGAATAAACTAAGTAAAGATCGCTAAAACTGAATGACATAAATAATATACTTTTATTATAGATAAAGGATCATCATCAAATCAATGAGAGAGGGGATCAACATAATTGATTGTTTTTTGTTGTACTTAAAATTTTTATTTGTCTGCTACTATGTAATCCCATAACCCAATATCACCAAAAAAAAAACTGATTGTCATGAGAATTACGAAAGTAGCATCTCATGGTTTCCTTGGGAGATCCTACAATATTCATTTATCATATTTGGGTTTTCTTGTTGTGATTTGACGTCGTACGTACACATCACGACCTCAAATCTTCATAAAGATGGTATTAGATTCTTTCTAATCCATATCTCATATGGTATCTAGTGCATAACCCCAAAAGAAAGTTGGAAGATCAATTTGACTCATTATAGATCATACCGTGTCTAACAGTATATGATTCCTCCTTTTGAACATACCATTCCACTATGGTGTTCCGCATGGAGTGAGTTGTGATATAATTCCACAATTTCTAACATGCTCAATAATCAATGGTCTAAGTATTCATCACTTAGATCTGATTGAAATATCTTAGTAACTTATACAAGTTGGTTACTTCAGGTTGAAATTCTTTGACAGTTCACATTTGCGATAAGTACATTAGCTCGGAGTAACTGGCTCTATACCACTATCCACATTTTTTGTAGGTCCACTTTGATTCAAGTCATCACTCACCTCCACAGTTTCAATAGGAGTTTTATGATTATGGAGAGTTATCTTAACCACCCGACTTGGTTGCACTTGTATGTTCAAGACCGAATGTATTATATGAGTTACACACTCATACTCAACGGGCTTTGAAACCTCTGGAACTGTAACCTCCACCATAGGCACTAGTTGTGCCTTAAAGAAATGTGATTCCTCATAAGTAACATGCCATGAGATGACAATCTTCTTTGTCACTTGGACCCAAATTCTATACCATCTAACCCTACAGATAATCCATCAAAATTCCATGACTTGCATGTAGATTTAGTCTCTCTTTTCGTGCCTTATACGCGAACACGGTAAAACGAATTACTCTGAAGTTATCCAAACTAATTGGCATGTTATCATTCCGTACCTCTTCAAGAATCTTCCAATTAGTATTTTAACACGGGGTTCTGTTTATGATGTGAGTAGATGTGGCCAAAGCTTCGGACTAGAAATCCTTTGATAGACCCATATTCAATCTCATGCATGTCTTCTCCAACAACGTTTTCTTATTCTCTTCACAACACCATCAGATTATAGATCTGCATGTGCAATGAAATGATGTTGAGTACTTCACGATGAACAATAATTAAGGAACTTTGTATATCTATATTCAGTAGATCTAACCTTAACCTTTCATCCTATTTGGTTCTCCACTAGAGCCAACCAAATATTGAATTTTTCAAAAGATTCAAACTTTTGCTTCATGATGCACGCCCAAACCTTTCTCGGGTAATCATCAATAACATAAATGAAGTAATGACCACCATCAAGAGATGAGATGGAAGTCATCCCTCACACATCCGTGTGCACATAATCATGTGTACTCATTTGGGCGTATGCTTGTAAGTGCCAAAGGATATTGTCTTGCATACAATTAGAACAAGATTCACAGTCATTAAGTTTTGTACATGTGATCATCTTCCACTCGTGGAGAATCTCCAAGTTCTTTGAAGTAAGACCGAAATGTAGATGATACAAATGAGTCAGATCCAACTTCTTTGAGCTTTCCTCTCTTATACAAGCATTCCTATTCACTATATGCCTCGTGATATTGTACAAATTATTTATCATCAACTTCCCCTTCACGATCAGAATATTACCTCTAGAGATCCTCAATTCATCACCAACAGATGTGGCATTGCAACCATTCCCCATAAAATATTCCCGACCGAAAGAAAAGACCTTAACATTGAGGGAAGGTATCTCACGCCAACAATTGTAAAGATAAACCCATCTTGCATCTTCATCTTCACAGTATTATGTGATGTATCTTCGATAACTACCTCCGGGATCATATCTTCACCCATACCAAATTCAAGTGTAGTCAATTCCCAATCTCTCAGTTAATTTCATCATAATAAATTTTGGGTTAAACGCATACATAACGGTATGCACTCCATTCCTCTTCAAAAGATCACCTTCATCTTTCATTGTCATTTGCCAAAATCCCCTACCTTATTCCAATTGTCAATGGGAAGATTCCAATTGTCAATGGGAAGGCTGACACCCCAATTATCCTTGGGAACCTTGTACATATCCCTAAGATGATGTACTAGCTTTATCTAGAGGTGGAACTATCTCACACATTTTGTTAATCACTTGGTATCACCAAACTTCCACCAAGTAGAAACCAAACAAAAGCAATACCAATCAACCATATGAACTGATAATAATTGTTGGACGATGATTACTTATCTTTAACAAAGCACCAAGATCCTAAACAAACAAGTGCATAAAACCTAACAACAATGCAAAACAAATAGATTTCAAAGTGTGCCTAACAAATAACGAGCAATAAGACCATGTAACAAATATATACTAGCAAAAGCAATAACAACATGATTATTTAACATAGTTCCACTATCGTGACATATGTACATCCACAAAAGGGAAAGATGGTAGTTCATATACTCAATACAGAAAGAAGGTACTTCTTATCGATACTTCAAATCCTTTACATTTGACAAAATGTAAACCCAAGAACTCTCCCTATATATTCTCTCTCTTTTGTATTTGACTGCAAATCTGCCCAGTAACAAGTGACAAAACTTAACACTTAGGTGGCGTTTGTTTTTTAAGAGGTTCTGAAGTCTGAAGTCTGATTTCACTTCTGAATTTTAAGAGGTGGTACTGAAGTCTGAAATCTGAATCAGTCAAACTATTTGTTTTTACGTCTGAAGTCTGAAATCTGAATCAGTCAGACTGTTTGTTTTTACGTCTGAAGTCTAAAATCTGAATCAATAAGACTGTTGTTTTTATAAACTGACAAACGTCTGAAATCTGAATCAATTCATTTCAATTAAATTTAACTGAAATATTCAATCATTTAAACCTGTAAACTATCATCTATTTTTAACACGTTTAAAAAATTGTTTGAATGATACAACCATGTTTTATTAAATTCAGTTCCACATATATGTATAGTCAAAGAACACAAATCAATCTTTATCCCTCCTCTCAAGGTTTTTCTTTTCACAGTAAAGGTGTTTGCAGTTGTACCCAAACTATATCTATAATCCTATGTACACAAATCAGGAAGGAGATCGAGAATATGTGGATCGATCTGGGTCGTGATTGATTTGGAGATCGAATGCCTTGCGAGATAGATTTGGAGAACTAAATCTGGAGGTGAGGATGGAGGGGAGAGTCTGGAGGGAGCGATTAAGAGGATTTAAGTGATTATGTTATCACTTTTTTTTCAGAGCAAATTAAGAGCTTTTCAGCTCTTATTTATATAAAAAAACAAACAGTCTGAAAATAAAAATGTCTGACCGGTTCAGACTTAAGAGGCATTAAGTGGTTTTTTTCAAAAAACAAACAAGCCCTTAAAGATGTTGCCGGGCACAAACACGTGTTATGTAATTGGCTGCTACTCACTTATGTTGTACAACAATCCTTGTGCCTCGCGATGGTCAGATCACATTCAAAAAACTCACAATTGCAGGAACGGTACCAAAGCTCCTCGATCAAATGCGATCCGGTAGTTGCGATCTAGCCACCTGCCAAGATCGCATAGCCCTAGGTTGCATGCGCCTAGGTAATCTTTAAATCACATAATAACGGCATATTTATACAACAAAAAAAGCTAAATGAAACACCATAAACCGGAGGAACTTGATGTATTAAAATCATTCTATCCATCAATTGTTTAGGAAAATATATACAACATAGAGAAGGAAGTGCTAACTTGCTTATTACTTGCTGCAAGATTCTTTTTATACATTACAACCACGTGTTTACATTACATTTCAGTGGTATGCACATAGAAGCGTAGGTAAAACAAACCAAGGGATATAACTCTTGTTCTATTTGAAGAAATATTATTCACAAAGTTGATAAGCTTACAATAAACTTCATGCTCTTGAGTCTTGATCTATCGAGGTTTTGAAGAGGCATAAACAACCCTCGAATCGCATACTACCTGTAATTCATTAACACCACATTATATCCGATTTCCAAAAACACTTGATCCCTTGTAAGGTTAGGAGGATCATAGACACCTTACTGTGGAAAAAGCCTCACCAACGATATACAAAAGTCAAAGAAAGGGTAGACAAGAAAAGTAACCGAACTTACAGTTTCCAATAAATCCCGAGCCAATCCAGAATGCCAGAAATGATCACCCAAAACATTATCTCCGCAAATATGACATAAAGTAGAATTCCCACTCTTCTTGAATGCCAAACTCCGAAGAAAATGTGTTTCTGAATCCAATATATCTGCATCCATTCAAATACCTAATTAGAATTCTTTTGAAGGCACCAAATCTGGTGGGAATATTAAAGTTATCTTACAGTTTCAATCCAGACATTAATTAGAATCTTGATGTTTATTGGTAGACACATTCATGTGAGGCAGCCAAATAAGAACCAAGGAGCAATGGTTTTCGTAAATGAAAAAGAAAAATCAAATATACAAGAAGAAACTGACGGAATGTAAGAGAAAAAGTTCAGGCTCAGTGATCTTTGATTATGTCTTTGGTGTTGGTTGTTTTTTTTCTTTGGCCTATACTTTCTTTCTTATTTTGATCACAAAGACAGGTACATGGGACTATTTTTTTCAGCTAGTTGTATAGATATACTTGATTTAGGCAATGTTTGGCAACCATAAGCTAGCTTATTTCTTGAGCTTATTGAAAAAGCCCTGTTAGTAAGTGGTAATCCATAAGCTAGCTTATAAACTAGTTTTGTGAAAACTACTTTAGATAGCTTTTCATTGAGCTTCTGCGGGGTTTTATTCACTTTGTTCCCAATTCCACCCCTTATACAGAATTGAGTAATTTTTCGACACGTCCTTTTAACTCATTTTACATCATCATCTTAGCTCATAACCTAGTATTTATTTTACCAAATGTGACTGTTAATCAACTAGCTTATAAGACAACAGGTAGCTTTTCACCTAATAGGTAACTGATCAGCTAGTTTGCTAAACATAGCCTTTATTCAAAAAGATGATGCAAAACTTACCAGTGTATTATGGGGGTTATCATAGTACCAGCCATTAACAAATCCTGCAAAGATGCCTTCAGCGGCCATAACATAAACAAGCATTGCATTCTTTCCAATCCATTCCAATGGCAGAAACAGGTATCTCAAAGTCCATATATCAACCTGGAAGTGAAGTCCCTTGCTTTAGAATCTTAGACCGACAAATGGAATACCATATTGAAAAACAATCATACAGTCAACTATACCCATTCTCTTTATTAATGTCATCGTTTGACCTTAAATGTCAAACTGCTATTTTCAATATTTTTAATCGTTAGAAATTCTTTTCCATTTGATCACCAATTTCTTTTCATTTATAGTGCTTATTGTACACTTTGACGTAGCTATATCAATTTTTCAACAAAAGTTGGGTATATGCATAACCATCTTGAAGCGAAGAGCAACTCATTTGGCATTCCAAGTCAAATTATGAACCACAAAACGTAAATATATCTCTTTAGACACTTAAATGTCAAAAGTGACTTCTTTTGGGGACAAAAGCAAACCAAACAAGACCAGTCTATGTCTAGGGGGTTGGGATGGATGTAGAACTGATCTCTACCCCAAGAAGTAGGATATGAATTGCACAATTTTTATCACTAACCATAATGTAGAAGAATGAGAAGACCAATGCTGCTGCTCCTGACGTTACACAAACATAGCTGAATGTGTACAACTGTTTATTTAGAGGAATTGCTGCATAAAGAAAGAAATGTCAAGTGAGACTTGAGAAAGCCAAAGGCGAATATAAACCACATCATGTATCTAGTTCATTGTCTGGATGAAGACCATCTGTGAAATGAAGAACGATTCCCAAAACAACGAGGCCAAGACCCATCATAATCCAATGCCTCAGCCTAGATGAGTGGCCCTGAAATCGGGAATCATAGAACAATTAAAAAACCAATGTCAAGAAAGTAATTCTCCTTTTTTCCCAGAAAAGAGGTGGCTATTCCTTTGAGATAAAACCCACAAAACATCAATAGACTATGTTTGGCAAGCTAGTTATTGACTTGTAAGCTAGTCATCACATGATTGGTAAAAACTAGCTTATAAACTAATCATATTTGGTAAAAACTACTGGATAAGCTAGATAACAATGCAACTTCACCTAACAAGATATGGTTTTTGGTCGTTTATGTAAATATAAGGGGCATAATTGGGGGGAAAAAGTGAAAAAAGAAGTCATTGGAGCTTATTGAAACGATATTTGGAGTAGCTTTACAAAAATCTAGCTTATGGCTTACCAACCGGAACATTTTCAATAAGCTCAAAGAAAAACCAACTAGCTTATGGTTCCCAAACATGGCCTAAAACCAAAATCGTAAACTTAGCACCAACACATTTCATCAAAAAAATTAGCAAGTGTTCCAAACATTAATTATTTCTCAACATCAAAAATTGCAAAGAACAAAGATCAATATTAAATCCAAAGTTGGTCTTCTACCTTGAAAGTCAAACCATGCCTTCTTTTTGGTTACACCGATGAATACACAAAGTTTTTCTTGGGCAAGATAGAAAAAAAGAACCAACCTTCATATGTATGAGTACATGCCCAAGGTGCACTCCGATAGTTGTAGAGAGGATAGCAGAAATAGAGCTGTTACAGTACAATAATTCATGTATGTATTGGTGATAACATAAGAAAATAAGACAACAAGATGGGGAGAGTTGAGGCCACTTTCTCGCATGACGTCCACTATCAAATGTGATTTCTCTATCTAGAGATACACAAGTTCTTATAATGAAATAGGTTCTTTAAAGCCAATTGATCGAATTTTGTTATTGATTTACTAAATGATAATCAATCTGAAACTTTCTCCAAGTAATTTTCCAAAAGAATCATGATCCAATCTATTAAATGTAGAACTTGACTTCAAACCTACAATTGAGCAAGGGGGTAACTTATTTTCTTTTTAATTCTTTTAAAAAATTTCACAATTGCTGATACAACCCTACCCTCCACAACCAAAACAGACCTTAAAACTCCTTCAGGTTCAAAAGGTGCCGAGCAATAAGATGGAGCATCCTTCTTGAAAGGACCCTCATAAGGGGATCTCTTGGTGCAAGCCTGCAATTATGTGAAACAAATTGCTTGAAAATGCAACGTATTTTGGTCAGATTCCTATTCTGCGTAACGTAGTATCAAAACCTTCGTTTGGTTATCTTAGATGTGCTTCTCAACCAGTTAGGTATCATGTTTACATCTGAGAATGCATGAAATGAGAAGTACTATAGTCCAATTCCTATTTTGTGAACATATTCCTGTTCAAATGTTTGAGATGTCATATTTGATGTACCAAAAATGACGGTTTTGAAAGTACGTTACATAAAAGAGGAATTGTCATGCAATTCGACCAACTATAAACAAGTAAAGTAAAGAACATATGAGCATGAAGAGATAATCAGAAAACAAAATGATGTTGGCCATCCATTCACCTTAGATCTCTTCCAAGCAGGATGCGGATACATGTGATTAATACCAAGCACTTGTCTGTCAATATAACCAACTGCATTACATGGAGGATCAAGTTTTCCTCTGACATCACAAGCTACCTGAGATTCATATATAGACAACACATGCAAATAAGTCCACATAAAGGTAGGAACGAAAATTTTAAAGGAACTAAAATTCTCTCCAGCATAAATACTTCAGAGAATGATCCTGAATATGTACAAAGTTTCTTACTAAAATCCGACTTTTTTGATCTACTGTGAGCCGCAAAAATCATAGAGAAACAGTCATAGATAAGACAAATATCCATTGAAGTATTTCCTTCATTTTTTAAGGTGCAGTTTGTTTATTGAGGCTAAATTAACTAAGTTTCAACTTCAATAACTATTCATTGTCTGAGAATTTCTGAATAATTCATAGGTTTGAATCTAAAATTTGGTTTACCTAATGAAATAAGAAAATACAAACTGATACATACTTGATCAGTATTGATTCTTTTGAATCAAAACTCCTCAATTTCCATTATAACAAAAAATTAGAGTACGTGCAAACCCCATAAGGGAAATTGTTACACATATACCACATTGGGTATTTTATCTATATTGCCTATAAATAGAGGGAATTTTTGGAAGACGGGGCCAGCCCAAAAGGCATTTTGGAAAAAATAAAAGCAAGATGGTCCTGTTTTGAATGAAATTATTGCACCTGACCTCAAAAGTCAATTTTTGTCATCGTGCAATATCCACAAAGTAACATATGGGTCAGTAATATATACAGTTAAAATCTTTCCGTAATCAGCACTGTCGGTATTGTGGACTGTGAACTGCCAGTTGGGGACATAAGTTCCATAAATAACTGCCAAATAAACTATGATAACACAAGCTCCTAGGATCCTGCAAATTTTACATTCAAACAATGTGGTCATCCTACAAATTAAATGAGAATTATAAGAAAGATAGAGCAGAAAATTTTTCAGAGGAGAGGGATAACACAATTACCAGTGCCAAATGTACAACTTGTATATAGAGAGACATCCAGGTGGTAGTTCCTCAGCATGTGTCCGTTGAGTTGCAATTTCCAACAATCCAACAACGAAATATGCAAGAGCAATTCTCTAGAATAAAAAAATTTGCTAAATCAACCTAGTTAAAAACCAAACGAACCCGATATATCCCACACACAGAAGGGTTATTAATCATTGTCATATGTCTTAGAAAGATTGTAAGGATAATTACCTGGAGAATACCACACCACCTAATATTTTTCATGTCAACACCATATGATAGTTTGTCAGGAGCATGTGAGAAACCACCTATGACAATACATGAATACTGAAAAGAGTAACAAAACTTCACATGTTTAATGGAAAGTAAATAATTTGACAATAAGAATAAAAAAGACTCCATATAAGATTAAATTTTTTAGGAAAAAACATCTTTCTCTTTTTTATTTTACATTTTTTATGGCTGGAATCAGGCTTGGAGATAAATAAATAAAAATCATTGTTTAGCATTAGAAAGGAACAACGAACTTGAATCTAGTACTATAGGCCAAAATTGTCTATTACCAACTTTGCCTGCTCCTTGTTAGATGGCAGACAATATCCAGTGAACTTGGACCGACCATATTTTCACTTTCTCCTGAATCAATGGTCTATGGAGCAGAACGAAAGAAACAAGAGAATTATTTATGTGATGAGTGAGAAGCTAAAATGGAAGGATTCTTGTGCTAGAAGAAGCTAAAGAACGCATTCAAGCCATAAACTCAGAAGAAATTACATGTCTCCATCATAGGAATCCTCTTGGCAGATGCTTCACTTAACACATTAGCAATAGCAAAACTGTTCCACACTGAATTCTTACCTTTCCAGTAATATTTCTTGGTATGTCTCCAATTTCCACATTAATCATACCTTTTCTTTGGAAGTATATATTGTATACAGAAAAAACTCACACACTCCTCAACTTTGGTGAGGCTTGAACCTCTGACCTCCAAGGAGATTGGTATCTATTGGTAAACCAGGCACCGTTGGGCCAATGCCCTTTGGTTTGATCAAACTTTTCTACGATGGCCCCTTTAGAGTGCCATGATGAATCAATACTTATTTAAGCTTTATCTCTCCTCTTATGAACTCTTCCTACCTATAGAACCACCCAAACACCAGGAGCGCAGTGACCTATTGATTTATGGACACCTGTAACTAACAATTGAAGTGTGCAATCAGCTGCTTGGTGATTCCAAATGGATTTACCGAACTCTTCATGCGTTGCTGGAACAGAAGCAATCAGGATTCATTCCAAGAAAAGGGGGCAACAGAAACTGAAGCATTGGGGGCATCACTGGAACAGAAACAAGTTCATATATTTTGATGGAACAAAGGCATAGTCAAATTGAGTATCACAGCAAGTGGATGTTCATGTGATAGCTGCAACCTTGCTCATTAGCAACAGCAGCAGGGTTAGAGAGATTGATTTATGCTCTTATACCATTTTAGATACCCCCATGGATGTATCTACTATCTACACATTACCACACAACCTATAGGTACATATCACATCTGGATGAGACAAATTTACTGTACCAACACTATATTGATTTTTTAAACTTACGTAAAGCTCCTGGGGGAGGAGAGAGAAATTACAGATAACTGGCATCATCAAGGATAAGACCTTGCAGAATATGTTAGATATGAAATCATGAACTGACCTTGTAATAGAAGACCCCAAAAGATGAGCTTCAGGGTCCTAAGTAGCACCTTTTTAGTGGCAATGCATCTATCTCGTATTCTCTGCAACGTGATGAAAATATATATATATATACGCACATACATATACACACATACATCCATATAGATACATGCATACATACATACATCTATACTACCTTATAAACCAGATTTGTCAAAAGTCTTAAAAACAATTTTTAATGCACAAAGTACTATACATTYATGCACAAAGTCTTAAAAACAATTCATAATGCATTAAGTACTATTACTTTATGCATTTAATCTTAAAATCTCTTAATCTACAAGTAAAATAACATATAGTATAATTTACCAATGCACATTATTACTTTTTCTTTTCATGTTCCCAAGATACTTTTGACACCTTTCACTCATGCTTTCACCCTCTCATACCTATATGTCTTCTCCCCATCACCCATGGTGAGATTCAAAATGATATTCAGCATGAGTCATTCATTCATCTCCCATTCAATTGCTCTAAAACTCTCAGTTTCGCTCTCGATCTCTTGATATTTTGCTCTTGATGTAAATCGAACACATTTGTGGAATCGTTTAAATATGTTGGATTTTAAATATATTGGATTTTAAATTGTCATACAATTTTTTTCATTGATAGACTGTAATTGGAACCATAACTCTTATTTATTCAAATTGTATTAATATGTAAAAATCAAATGTAACTTATATCATCGTTAAATCTTCTCTAATAAAACCAATGAAACTTCAAAATCGTTAAAATTCACGGCTCCCGCCGCATTACGTGGGTACACAACTAGTTGATATATATATATATATATATATATATAAAGTCCCCTTCTTTTACAAACCCAATAATTCATAACAACTTACAAACCAGTTTTCGTGAAACAAGACGTGTGAAAATTTTGTGTTTATACAGTGTTGTTTCATATGTGAAACATTTAGGACTGTTTTTTTCCATACACAAAACGGTACTGAACGTTTCACGTATGAAACAACACAACATATAAGCACTGCATTTTCCTACAATTTGTTTCATATGTGAAACAACACATGAAAACTAGTTTGTAAGTTTGTACAACTTATTAGGCTTGTGAATGATTAAGCGTCTATATATAGTATATATACACGTGTGTAGTAAAAACTTGCTATATGCTAATCTTTTTTAGCAAAAAAGAGTCATCAGCAAACCTTCAGAGCAAGTGCAATGGACATGCCCACAATGAACAAAAAGAATGGCATTACAAAATCAGCAAGGTTGCAGCCATTCCAAGGTGCATGTGCAATCATAGGCCATTCTCCTCCAGCATCATCTACCAAAATCATCAACTACAATGTTTTTATAATGCTGACCCCAATTTAATTGAAATACTTTATAGAGCAGCTAGCAAGTAAAACAACTAATAAAAATAGTCAGGCATCAATGAAGTAAAGTTAGATGAAATCTGTTTATAAATTAATAGGCCACAGGAGGTAGACTATACAGTATCGTGATATGGGTTGATCAGACAATTCATATTGCTTGCATTGTAGTTGAAAAACATGTTTCAACAATAAAAAGGAGTTACTCAATATGCAAACCATATGTTGCTTGCCTTCAACCTTAAACCGCTCACATGTAAAGATTCTTATCCAAGTCACACATACAGACATCCTCGTCCATTTAGAAATGCAGTTTTATAGTCCACATGATGTAGCCCAAGATAATAATGAGCTACTAAGACCAATAATATCCGTTATCACTCTTTTCTGGAATCGTTTGAAAAGGTCTCCTTATAATTCACTCCTTTTTCAGTTTATCATTTTGCGACCAAATATCTCTTGGATGTTTTCTTTCAAGTCTAGCTTTCTCTTATAGACTCACTTGCAATCTGGAAGTTTCTAAACATCATTGATTTTCGTCATTCATGACTCCAAACTATCGAGTTGATTTGTGTCATTCACTTTGATTTTCGTCATTCGTCAAGTGATCGCTCATTGATCATGAAACTAGCATCGACCACATTAGGTGGTGTTAATGTTACCTCTCCATAAACTCGGGAATTGGCACTACATTATTAGGTCAATCTCATCATTAGGATCATCAAATATTAGTGGTTTATGGCAAATGCCGTAAATGTTGAACTAAATTTATGAATACACCATATACTTATCACCAATTCAATCTTAGTAATCAATATATATCAATCACTTGGTTCAATGCTTGCCAAAAATTTATTATCAGAAGTTAGTATACTTGTTGAAAAAGATGATGCCATAATTAGAACATCTTGAACAATAGGAGGACTTAGAGTAGTGATCTGAAATTTGCCCTGCTCTTTCGATTATGATGGATATTCTTAATGGTGTTCTTAACAAACAAGCTTAGAGCTGAAAAGATGGAAAATTGGAATCAGACTGATTCGCTTGTTTAGGCTATGTTTGACAAACTAGCGTATGTGTTTAGGGTTTAGCAATTACATAACAATCCACATGGGGATAACTATAAGCATACCGCTACAGTAAATCCTCTGAAAATATCTACGGAAGCAACCCGCTTCTTTTTCATCTTCTCTGTGGTGGTGTTGACATGTGGCTCCTCCGATGTAGGAGCTGGTGTATCTGCAATGTCCAGACAGCGGTCTCCGTCGTTGAGTTTGATGTCAGCCATTTTTGTCCGGAGATCAGAAGACTGAAGTCAGTCAGAAACGGTGAAGCTTCACTTCCCGCTCAACCGCCGTCAAGATAATATTCCTTTCATTGCTTGGTTATCATTGTACCTATCGAGGTCTATTTTAATTAAATAAATAAATAATATATATATAGAGCAAGGGGTGGCTAATGGCACCCATTTCATGTCCTAATGTCATCCCTAAGTAGTTTTTTATTAGGGATGAGTATAGGCGGGTACCCATTCTTTTTGGTAAGAATCGAAACCGGAATCGGCGATTCTTGAGATATTAGAACCGGAACCGGAACCGGTTAGAGCGGTTCTTAAATTTTTGGAACCGGAACCGTCGGGAACCAGTTTCGGGTACCCGCTTCCTAAAATATTAAAATTTTGTTATTTAGAAATAAAAAATAAAACATTGTCAAAACACTAAATAAATAAGCAAGAATACAAATTATACAGAATAATGGTTACAAATATTGTTTAACGATTACGAACCTTAATAGACTAATATAAAATGTTCAAAGTTTAACGATTACA